GAGAGCCTGGTGAGTCAGCGGGACAGCTGATTGTTCCTCACTGGATAAAGGTCATGTAGTAATGATCTGTGTATGTGTGTGTGTGTGTTTCAGGAAGCAGGAGACAGCAACCAGTTCTGCTGGAGGAACCTGTTTTCATGCATCAATCTGCTGAGAATATTAAACAAGCTGACCAAGTGGAAACACTCCAGGACGATGGTGAGGAATTCTGCAAAACCTCATACTGCCGCCCCAGGGTGGGAATTTTACTGCCTAAATAAACCCATCCTAATGAGTCTGAATCATATTGTGTTATATTTTGAATTATTAGTAAGTTATAAGTACTTTGCATAAAATAAATGCAGCACAAAGTTCTGTATAGTAAGGGAAACAATAGATATAAAATTAGATAAATATAAGGTAAAATACAATCCATTGAATAATAGGAATCCTAAAAGTGCAGAACACCCAATCTGTGTACATTTTATATTGGTGTGTTACACAAAAAAGGTCTTCATGGGTGGGCATTGTGTTCACAGTATGCCTCCAAATCAGCTCCCTCATGTTCCTCACTGTTTCCCTCCTCAGATGCTGGTGGTGTTCAAGTCGGCCCCCATCCTGAAGAGAGCTCTGAAGGTGAAGCAGGCCATGATGCAGCTCTACGTCCTCAAGCTGCTGAAGATCCAGACCAAGTACCTGGGCCGCCAGTGGAGGAAGAGCAACATGAAGACCATGTCGGCCATTTATCAGAAGGTCCGCCACAGGCTCAACGACGACTGGGCCTACGGGAACGGTAAATAGCCACAGCCAGTCATAAAGTATTTCACTTTAAGATTAAATAAAGAACCCATTTTAATATGAGGGATCACATTGCAAGAAATGTAGTTTAGTGGGAGGGGGTTATTAACCATATTCCCCCTATATTTTCATCAACCAATATCAACCTTTTCTTAAAAAAACTGACGCAATGCTCTTCTTTGTTACAGCCCTAATTCATAATTTATGGTGCAAAGCTTATTACATCATCCATAATTAATCAAGTGCAGATTTAATTTATTTATTCTCTTGAACCCAGTTGGCCTCTCTTGAGGTTTTGATAAATAAAACGGGCTTGAAGATAATTATTCCCACCAGCCCTCCTTTACCGTCACACATAACTGATAATAAAACACAGACTGCAGTATAAAGAACACATTTACCCGTAGCGCTGTAAACCCCATATTTAATACCAGTACATATTCCTATTTCCTTACTAGTGGTAGTGGTGTGTGTTTAAGTACCTGTCTGTATGGATGTATGTACCATGCGTGTGTGAAATGCAATGCTCCTGCAGCCATTGGCGAACAGCCTGGATTATGTTGCCATAGCAACAGAGAAAAGGAGGACTTTTTCAGGGTCACCGTCCCTCGTGAGAGTGCAAGTGATCTGTCAGCATTAGTGTGTAGAGAGAGAGTGGATAGAAGGCACAACATGGAGAGAATAGGGGAGGAAAATAGGTGAGGTAAGAAGTACTCAGATCTGTTACTTAATTAAAGTAGAAGTAGGAATACTCTGTTACAAGAAAAAGTCCTGCATTCAAAATGTTACTCAAGTTAAAGTAGAAAAGTATTTGCATCAAAATATACTTAAAGTACCAAAAGTATGCATATGCAGATTGGCCCATTTCAGAATAATACATATTATATGTTTTATAATTATTGATGCATTAAAGTGTTCTCAAAGCTGGTAAAGGTGCAGCTAGTTTTAATGACTTTGTATACTGCAGGGTAGCTTGTGAATTTACTCCAGGTGTAACTAAAGTCTTATTTAAGTGTTGATTATATTTCACATCATTTAACTACATCTGCAAAGTAACTAAATACATGTAGTGGAGTTAAAGTACACAATTTACCTCTGAATTGTAATGGGGACAGAGGAGCCACAAATTGACACCTCAAAAGTGTTTAAGTACAATACTTGAGCAGAATCTACTTAGTTACTTTACACCACTGATTAAAAATCCCCCTTCTCTTTCTTCCTCCCCAGATATCGACGCTCGTCCCTGGGACTTCCAGGCAGAGGAGTGCGCGCTGCGGGAGAGCATCGAGAAGTTCAACAGCCGCCGCTACGACAAGAACAAGAACTGGGAGTTTGCGCCCGTGGACAACTGCCTGCAGAGCGTGCTGGGCCAGAGGGTGGAGCTGCCCGAGGACTTCCACTACAGCTACGAGATGTGGCTGGAGAGGGAGGTCTTCTCACAGCCCATCCAGTGGGAGGGGCTGCTGCAGAATCCATGATGGAGGGCAGGGAGCGGGGGGCGGGGTGTAGAGAGAGGTGAAGCCTATTGGAGGTGTTTTAGGGTGTTTCCTTTCTGCAAAACTGGAAGTAGAAGGAGGAAGGAGAGGAGGAAGGAGCAGGGATGGGGGTTACACTTCACATGAGTGATGGAGGAATGGGGGCGGGGGAAGAATCTAGAGATGGAGAAGCTAGAGATGGAGAAGCCATCACACAGGCTATGCAGGGTTGAGAGAAAAATGGAAGATGAAGGGAAATTTGACGAACGAATGGAGCGTCCGACTGTGAGCCAAACACACACACTCGATGTTAACATGTGCCTATGACTACTGTGAACACACACGGACAGGCAAGAACAGAGGTAGCAGCTAATAAGACGTAGCAGGAGACGGCCAGTTATACTGCCCCCCCCTGAAAAAATCATGTCACCACTTTGTCAATTTATATTTCCCCCTTTTTAAAACGTTGGTGCTTTTTTGAAGATTGTTTCCTATTAATTTTGTGAGGCCAATTAAGGTGATTTCTAATCAGTTGTTTTTTTTATTATTTTTTACACAAAGCCTACTGGTATCTGGGTGTAGTTGATGGATTTTTCTTAAGCATTTTCTAGAAAAAAAAGGGCCTTTTTGGAAGAAAAACCACAGGGGGATTTTCATGGTTAAAACGTAGAAGTGGGATCTATCTCCACCGATGGCATAGTGATTTTACATAATATGTCAAGAAATATACCAGCTGTTAGTGTATGGGTTTGTTTGTGAATGTAAAAATGATGTAGGTGAAGAAAGAAAAAAACAGTACATGAAAATAGGGAAGAAGTTGGAAACCGAATATACATTTTCTGCAGGAATCTGATATATTTTTAAAAATAGAAACTTATATATAATCGTTAATATTCCAGAAATCTAATAGGGACTTCAAAATCCAGAAATCACAAATCTATAATCACTGATGTCATCCAGGATTCACTTATCAAACCTAAGAACGGTTATGGTCCCATAGAAAAAAAAAGAGGGGTGTTTTGTGCGCTGGATTGGTTTACAAGATGCACATTTGCCCCAAAAACTACACCTTTTTGAAGTATTTTTCTCTTTTAAAATCGAAAAATATTATTCTGATAAATTTGAGATCTCACATTTTTAGTCACCTGTAAAGGGTCATTTCTGAGTATGGGGAAAAAGCCACTTCTCTGAGTTTTTATATGGAACCATGCTAAGCTAACCGAACCCCATTAATGATCAGAATAACCAACAATCGTGACTCCACCCCCCTCTGAACAACAGCACAATTACCCACAGTCCTCCTTGGTGGTGGCCTTGGTGAGCACTTTGCCACCCTTTGCTTAGAAGAACATAGCTGACACAATAATGGTGGTGTTTTTTCTTATTCGTCTTCACTGTATATGACGCTCACGTCCAACTACCTAAAGCGGGGCTCCAGAGTTCGGAGCTCTGGATAGATTCTGAAAAACTGAAGCACAGAAAACTAAAAAAGCATGGTCGCCTTTCTTTCATGTCACTCACACTCGGTTCAGATTGAAGAGCAGTCATTTATTAGCTCTGTATAGAACAATACTTTTGTCTATGTGCATGGCCACTGTTTTGTACCTGGTCACATTTAAATTTGTGGAATGGCTTCTTTTTTGTTGTCTAATGATTTTTCCAGCACAATTAGAAAAGTGTACTTGTTTCTTCTCGTATAAAAATATTATTGTGTACTAAATAGATTCTCAGGTTTATGGAGATAATATATTGCAAAAGTTTTTAAGCTTCCTTGCCATCATCTAGCTCATGACATGTAGTGATGAAGACACTTTTATCATCACATTCGTATATGAAAATACACCTGAAGCACCAAACATATACTGCACAGGATGTACTACACAATAACTCATCGTGAGTTTGTATTCATGTCAGCGACATTTCATGTTGGGATGTATTTTTTTGTATCTTGTGCCAAATTTCAGTGCTATTTTCTATTTTTTATTTCATCGTCGTTGCCTCCATGAGTATATTTTTTTCCTTCACTTAACCACTGAAGGTTTGCAATACAAAAAAATGTTTTTTTTCTACAGGAAAATTGTACAATCAATGAAAGTAGTTGTTTCTTGTATCTGGTACTGTATTTTACCAGGGGTGTTACGCATTGTATGGGTGTTACTACAGTATCTATGTGGTTTTTTTGTTACACACATTTCCATATCTGTATAGTCTTGAAAAAAATAAATACTGGATCTGTTCTGGGGTATGTGCAATTACAGATTCATAGAGGCATTATTTAATAGAATGACAAAGTACAATATGAGAGTTGCTTATTAAATAATGTTGAAGAGTTGTTTGGTGAAGTGAGTTTTTATTGGCTGATGGAGTTGTGCAGCTGGTACACACAACACAGAAGATCAAAATGACCACACACTCGCATCATACTTTTCCTCAGGCCAATGTTCCACTAGAGCGGGTACAGCTGTGTGAAAGGGGACGTTAACATATCCCCCTTTGTGATTGGCTGGTGTTGTAATGATGTAAAAAGGCCCTGTTTTTATCCTTCAATATACAGTATGGTAAAAGTAATTAAATAACTGCAGCAAACACACTTATAAGGCTAGTTGTCTGGTTTCAGACAGAGGGGGAAAAGAGGTGCTGCAGCACAGGCAGTATGAGGAAAAATAAATACTTTTTTTAACATTAAAGCATGTAAATATGTCACAGTACAGGAAACAAATACATATATGAAATGATAGGGCCCCTTTAAGCTCTTTGCAGAAATACAGGTCTTTCTGTCAGAATGAAGTACAGAAAATATAAGTACTTTTCCTATACAATTTAATTTGAATGTAGATCATATATAGTGATTCAGACATTCCAGTACAATGATGTTTTGCCTAAATGTTGTGCAGCATGTTCAGGCCCAGCGCTGCTTTCCCGTGGAACTCCCCCGTCCAAACCAGTCCCTGTGTGTTAGTGAACGCCCCGTCTCCCTCCAACCTAGAAACACAAAATCTCACATTGGATATTGTAGCCAAAGATGAAAAAAACAAACACTTGAACATCATGTCTTGGGTCTAAATATGTATCCCAACCGAAATTATTCATTTATTTTGAATAAGATGTTCTATCCAGCTTTTAAACGTCTCAAGTGGAAATTAAAAGTAAATTGGTTAAAGAGGCTAATTTGTAAAACTCTGCAAATGTCAAAATCATCTTCATTAAACCACTTATTGCATTAGGAATGAACAACTGGAGCCTCTTGTTGCTTTAGTCTGGTTATATAAGCAGGCTAACCTGAACCAGTGCTTAACAATTAGACACAGTCATCATTTGGACATGGCCCTTTCTAGAAAAAGATTAAGGGATCACACAGTGGGTGTAAGTGCCTCTTACCTGTTCTTGTTGAAGGGACCCTTGTAAGTAGAGCCATCTGGAAAGGTATATCTTCCCGTGCCATGGTACATGTTGTCTTTGAATTCTCCTTCATAGAGTGCTCCAGAGGGATGATTCAGGGTCCCTCTGCCATGCATCTGTGAGAAAGAGAGTGTTCATGTGTGACTAACCACAGACATGGATGGGTTGCTGAACTGGACTATTAGTCGCAGGCAGGGGTCGAAAGTGTCAGGGCCCCAATGTCTTCAACTGAAAAATGTCACTCGTAGAGAAACGTATCAACAAGGAGGATAGTAAACTTGGGCACAGGAAGCATAAAAGAGACACAAAATGACAAAAAATGGACACGTAACAACCACAGACAACTAAATACTTATCAAACACTTACAAAGTGACAAAAATGGACCACAAGTAGACATAAAACACTACAAAGAGAAACAAAATGAAAAGAAAGTGACATAAAAGAACCACACAAAGTCACAAAACTAGAAAGAGACACAAAACAAATACAAAGAGACCCAAAATGACCACAAAGAGACCCACAAGTACCACAAAGGGACACACGCAAGTTTTTTGCTCTATTTTTACGAAATGTGGTGGGTTTGCATAAAGCAAATACAACCGTCAAGTCTTAAGTAACAGACATCAAAATAAGTAAATACATACTTTGTCTTCCAGCCACTCTCCTGTGTATATGATGCCCCCTGCTGAGGTGTGTGTACCGGTACCGCTTCTCATCATCACACCTGCACACCTGTTGCACTCCCCCTCTGTGGAAAAGAGAAGAGACACTGACACACTATGTAACTGTATTGTACATTTGGATCTGCCATCAGTTATTACTCACCATATTTGTCCCCTTTGGGAAAAACGTAGGATACTTTAATAGGTCCTTCTCCTGTAAACAAAAAGTTACTTTAAGAACCTTAACTGACAGATGCAGAATTTGCAGGTATTAAACTGTAATATTTACCTTGAGTTTTAACATCTTCACTTTCCTGAATGTCTGAAAGTTTAAAAAAAAGTACAAAATAAGACAAACAACTGTCAAGACAAAAGGAAATGTGTGTGTGCTGGGTGTTATTAGAAACTATTCACAATCAAACCCACCAGACATAAGAGATGTTATCAGATTCGACAGGAAACGCTGCGAAGGGATGAGGAAAGTAAAAGACTTGAATAAAAAAAAATGTTTTGTGCTATATTAGTTAACTTTATCACCCCAAAAAATGTCAAACCGCCTCCAGATATGAATTAATATATCATATTTTGTTGTTTATTTCCCTCTCACCGTTTTCTGTGTTAGCTTGTAACTGCAGTTGCCATAGTTACAATATCCCGAACACAACAGCCTTCTTAACAGCTCTGTTGTTTCATAAACAGTGTTACTATTTTTATAACAATTTAGTTTAGCTGAATAGGAAACTCAACTTTTAATTTTAGTCCAACCACCGCCAAATATGAATTAAAATATAATATGTTGTTTATTTCCTTGTCACCGGACACCGGAAGAACACTTTGACCTCTGAATTTTAGACCAATGAAAGAGAAGCAGGCTACCGGTGGTCGGAACCGGTCGAAACAGCAGCCTCAGGTTAGTCCATACTAGTTATGAAAGTAAAGTTTTTTCAAGTATGTATGCGTTTTATCCCGTATAATAAACATGAAATTGTTGAAGATATTCTTTAGCATTAAATACATCCGTCTTGACTAATAAGAAAGCTTCTCTCTGCTAGCTTGTTAAACCAGAAGTGAGCTTGCTAGCTTGTTAGCATGTTAGCTAGTGGAAGCTTGATGCACTTTACTTTCTGACGTGCCACACTATGACACACAACCACGTTATTGCTAATACCAGCTACATGTTGTCCTTTCATAACTTGCTATCTAAGCACGTTGTCAGTCCGCCAGGCTTGGAGGGTAAATGGACTTTGCCTTTGTTGGGTTGTTAAGTCGGCATGCTCCGTTTGGTTGCATAATTGTAGCCACCAGCGCTGTGTGTCAGTCACCATCTCATTGCTCGCACTTGAACTAAAGTGCCACAACGAGCCACCCAGCCTACAGCGATGTGCTGCTCTGTGCACTGCAGTGGATGTACAGTAGATTTTTGCCCGGGATCGCAACTAGCAGCTCTCTCTGGCTCGTCCAGGATTATTGTATACCAGAAGATTTTACTCAAACGATGCATTTTATGTCTCTCTTCACAGATTATTTGATACTATGAAAGGACAATAACAGAACGTGAGTACACTGTGTAACAGCTGTATATTTTAGGCAATCCAGAATGTTTTGTTGATGATAATTCTAAGGCAAATTGCTCCAAATATGTGATCTGTGATGGATGTGTTTATGTATGTGTTTTGACAGAAAAATGAATGCAAGGAGAAGAGGTGGGCAGCCTAACAGAGGAGGGGGGAAGTTTAACAAGCCAAGAGGAAGAGGAGCAGGAAGAGGAGGAGGAAGAGGAGGTGGAGGTGGTGGTGGCGGTGGCGGTGGAGGTGGAGGTGGAAGTAAAGGAGGAGCTTGCGTCTATGATGACGGTGATGATTTCAGTCTTGATTCCGGACCCTCTCGTCCAAGCAGGTATGTAAAGTGAAGGAACTAATGATCAGATTTGAACTTTTTCATAGTTTGCTCATTTCCAGCTGAATCCCCTTTTCACCCTAATCTCTCTTGTTCTCCTCCCTTTCTCTTGAATGACCAGACCTGGTAGAGGACGGGGCGGCGGTGGTGGTAGCGGTGGCCGAGGTGGTGGGGGCCGAGGTGGCGGGGGCCGAGGTGGTAGCAGTGGTGGGGGCCGAGGTGGCGGTCGTGGTAGCGGAAGCAGTGGTGGCGGAAGGGATGGAGGTCGAGGAAGAGATCGTGGGAAAAGCAGCAGCAAGCCTCTCCCAAGGTCCCTGGCGAGGACACGAACAAGCCCAAAGCCAGGTGACAGCATCCGGCCGGAGATGAGCAGCATGCCCATGCAGAAGATCTTCATGACTACTGAGAACCAAGAACAACTCAAGGAGCTGCTGCGGAATCTGCAGACCCGGGACTTTGATGAGCCATACGAGTAAGTACATTCTACTAAATATATCAATTATATAGATAGTTTTCCTTTTCCATTCCACAAGTAATCATATCATTCTATCTGCCTCAGTGAATCTGATTCAGATTATTCTGAAGAAGAAGAGGATGAAGAGGAAATTGATGAGTTGGACCACCGTGACGAGGGCCAGTTTTGGGCCACTACTGATGAGCCTGTGGAGAAGGCAGAGAGCCCGGTGTATCTGACCGAGTCGTCTGATGAGGAACGGCCCACCCCTGAACCTGTCCTCTCCTTATTCGCCATAGGAAAACTCTGCAGGTAGTGCACACATTTGTTGTCCTGCTTTTCATCTGAAGCCAGTGTTTTGCTGCTGGGCTCTTAAGAGCCTAACCTTGGAGAAGATTAGGAAAAAGGGTTCAGATACAGCTAAACGATTGACTCCTAATAAACCTAACCCTAAACATTTTTTTCTTATTGTTCTTTTCTGTAGGTATGGCTTTGACAGGGAGCGTGGCAAGCAGGCATTGGAGGCTAGTGGAGGGGAATTTGGGTCCACACTGGAAAAGCTCCTCCTCCAGATTTTCAGTGAGCGCTACGGCCAGAAAGCTGTTTCCCCTGATGGTCTTGAAGTGGTGCCTAGGGATGAGTGTTTGAGCCAGAGGCAGGAGGAAGCTCTGGCTCTCGCTGCCATTTACGGTGAGCGCTTCAACGAGCGCATTGCCAATACAGTGTGGACTGTAACCCTGGACCTCTCATTCCTCTCTGACAATGCAGCCAAGAATGGCAGGCATGGTCGAGGTGGTGAAGGAGTTGTTCACATCCGAGATGTCTGCCGGTTCTTTTTGAAAGGGCAAGGCTGTCGCTTTGGGGACAAATGCAAGTTTAAGCACCAGCTCCCCACTAAAGGGAGATCTGGCTCCCCAGACTTTCAGGGCCCGAGCCAGCCTGGCTTCAGCAGCTGTTCCCCTAATGAGTATGAACTAGAGGTGCGTTTTCCCAAAGGAAACCGTTACCCGTTTCAGGCACCAATAGTCGCCTTCAGCACCACCGATGTGTCTTTAGGGGCCGCGGGGAGGCTCAGCGTGACGGAAAAATTGTTCGAAGAAGCGTTGGCCGCAGCAAAGAGCAACGAACCTGTCGTTTACACTCTGATCACAATGTGTGAGGATGAATCTGCCATCAAGGAACTGCTGGCTGTCCAGCATCACAAATACAGCACGCCTCCGCCTGTGCTGGTGCTTCCTCGACCCTCTCTTCCCATAGCAAAGAGTAAGAGCGTGAGGAGCAACGCTACTGAGGAGAGCAGGAGTAGTAGTACCAACAGCAGGAGGACAGCAGCACCACCTACCAACCAGAGACACATTGATTGTGAGTCAAAACGATTTTCCCTATTTATTCTAAATGTTTTGCACCAAATAATACTCAGCATTATATGTTATGTGTGTAAGAGTTGAAGTCCTATCCCTGTCTTTAAAGTGAAAGAGAAAGCGGAGGCAGAGGAGCTGGATGAGAAGGACGAGGACGAGGACGATGAGGAGGATGTTCCAGTCGAGACTGAGAGTTACGTCAACCTGAGGAAGAAGATGGTGAATAAGCACAACATGAAGATAGACAACCTGCAGAAAGAAAATGGCAAGCTGTGCCGGGAGTTTAAGAAGAAGCAGGTAAAGGACAACTCATCTTAATAACGTATTCTATCCAACATGATGTATGTTTTATAACTCACGGCTGTTCTTCCATCCCTCTGTTCACTCAGTCATCTGGGCGTTTCAGGTCCATGTTGGAGCAGAGGAGGAAACTGCCCGCTTGGAACGAAAAAGAAAACATCTTGGACCTGCTGGAGCGGTGCCAGGTGCTTGTTGTCAGCGGGATGACTGGGTGGGTCTCGGTGTTAATTGTTCCCATTCACAAGGACTCAGATCAGGAAAATGCTATTACAAACAAATATAATACTAGTATGTGGGAATATTAATTATTTTGGATATTTGCTTTTCACCAGTCTTAAAGCATACATGCAAAATACCCCTTTTTTGACTAGTGCATTAAAATAAATTGTATAACGTTAAAATATTATATTTTATTAAGTAACAACCCTTTCCTTCCATGTTGTACATACGTAAAATACTTAAAAATACATCAATTAAAAACCCCATGAAGATGCTGAAAGGATGTAAATAAGGCAAATAACTGGTGAATATCAAGAAGCTCTTCATACACCTGCTATGACTCTGTTAAATGTTTTTGTTCTGTAACTTCTCTGCAGGTGTGGTAAGACCACTCAGATCCCTCAGTTCATTCTGGACGCCTCTTTAGGGGGTCCGGCAGATCAGGTGGTCAACATCATCTGTACTCAGCCACGCCGAATCTCTGCCATCTCTGTGGCCCAGAGAGTGGCGCAGGAGCGAGCGGAGAATCTCGGCAACTCTGTGGGCTACCAGATCCGCCTGGAGACTGTTCGGGTACGGCAGCATTTGAATTGATGCACGATTTTTAGCCAAAGGTTCCAGATAGGACTTCTGTGTTGCGTATGATTCCTAGCTATATGTAGCTTTATGCGTCTGTCTTTTTTCAGTCGGCTGCCACCAGACTGCTGTACTGCACCACCGGCGTGTTACTGCGGAGACTGGAGAGCGAGGCAGACCTCAAAGGAGTATCGCACGTCATTGTGGATGAGGTGCACGAGAGAACAGAGGAGAGGTGAGATTATGCAAATCCCTCACATATGGTGCTGAACGTAGGCTTTCACGCTCCTCCTAATGCATCTGAGCAGACACTTATGGGGAGGCACTACAGGCAAACACTTTTAGTTTTTTCATCCTCTCATTTTGAATATTTCAGCTATTTTCCTTCCATTACATGCTGTCTTTCAGTCGACTCGAAAGACTCCAAATCCCACATTTTAGTTACTTCAGTTTATTTAAACACACCTAAATGTAACATTAGATAATGCCTCGTTTGCATATTCGAACATAACAATTCTGAAAACCTGTATTGTTTCCCCTTAAAATCTTTTTAAATTTCATTTATCTCATACATAACCGTCGCAAATAATATTTGACCCGCTCTATCGAAAATCAGTCGGAAGTCGC